AAAAAAAAAAGGGGGAGGGTGAAGGTGCTAGATTTTAAAAGTGAAGGACTGACATCTGAGTGTGCTGTTTGTTTACTGGACTCTTGGTCCCTGGCTGCTCGTTGACAATTATCAGCTCCACAGCCTGTTGTCATTTGCCCGATGCTGATGCTGACTCATAGCGACCCTATAACCCAAAACTAAACCCACTGTCAACAAGTGGATGGCAACTGATAGAGGTACTATAGGCCCACAGGGTTTCCAAGACTGTAATCTTTATGGAAGCAGACTGCCACATCTTTCTCCTGCGGAGTGTCTGGTGGGTTTGAACCGACAACTCTTCAGTGAGCAACTCAGTGCTTAACCACTGTGCCACCAGGATGCCTAATTAAAGGCTAGCATTCCCCATTTTCCACCAGGGTTTTGAACCCTGGCTCCCAAGCCTAGCCAGTATTCCTTTTTTTTAAAAGAGTGATTGGTCAAAGTTCATTTCCTACATATTGTAGGATTTTTTTTTTTTTTGGTGGGGGAAGTTTTATTAATCTATGAAATCTAAATTTGGTGACCACTGGCCTGGATGACTTTTAAGATCCACAAAATATTGGCTGATTTAGATCCAGAGCAAATACCACTCTGTCCATCCCTTATGCTCTCATAGTACGTTGCCTGGTCAATGATGGCACCAACTTTGGTCCTCTTTGTTTCTGGTGTTAATATGATGGGAAAGGAGGACTGAGCACTCTCTGCCTCTTCTGGTGCAGCTCCTAAGCTGATCCTGCTTGTGTGGCCACACAATCATCTCACAGCTCCCCCACCACAGATGTGTCATCTTTGCATAACATATTGTGTCTTAAGAAATCAGTATTCTTGGAAATCAACAGTTAAAGCTCCATCTTAGGAATGCAGAGGAAGAATCAAAGGTGCTAACATGATAAGGTGAGTAGAGTGCGTACGTGTTCTAACAGTCTGGACAATAACAGATGCTCTTTCTTGGGCACCTGTTCAAGAGGCAGCACTGGGCTAAGCTTTTTACACATATTATTTTATTTACCTCTTCCTACAGCTCCATGAATGGGGCATTGATGGTCCAGTGCTTGTCTTCCACGTGGGTGACCTGGGATCAATTCCCAACCAATGCATCTCATGCAGTTACCACCTGTCTGTCTATGGACACTTGAATGCTGCCATGATGCTGGGCAGATTTCAACATAGCTTCCAAACTAAGATAGCCTAGGAAGAAAGGCCTGGCTGTCAACTTCTGAAAAGCAGCCGATGGGAGCTCTATGGATCACAGCAGTCTGA